ACCCTGCTGGAGGGGATGTTAGGCTTTGTTATCGGATAAAATCCCAATCTGGAATGCTAAAACTGGATTTAGGATTTTTACACAGTCTATGGTGCTAAAATGTTTTGTGGTTAGATAAGTCAAAATTGGAACTTTCTGATCTGAATGCAAGGTATTACATCTGTGCAAACCCAGCATAAATCAAAATTCAGTCACATGCACATGTACGGTCAAGCATGGTGGCAGCATTAAGTCCTAATTCTGCTTCTCATTATGTGTCCCAGTCACTAATAACACACATTCCTTTAATTATTACTCTTGCTTGGGAGTAGTTTTTGAAAAGGCAGGCTCGTCTTACTTTGTCATTCCAAGAAATGCCCTTTGTTCACATCATAGTGCTTCACCTTTCTGTCTGAATTTCTGAAAAAAGTTTATTGTACAATATTAAGGGTACATTATTCCAGCATAACCTTGTTTTTATTCCAAATCCTGTAATTACTAGAATGTTTGGAAGATGGGAATTATTTATTAAAGGTAATTACATTATTGTCCCTGAGTGTAGTGTCTTCTTTTCAGAAGAATATACCAGCACCCTCTGATAATCTACATGAGCAATTATTTCCATATACAACTTTAGGTTAATATGGTGTGAATTTCAGTAATTGTGTCAAAAGGTAGGTTTTGTGACACCACATTGATTCTCCAGGGTACAAGTACAGCTGTAAGGAACAGTAATAATATATCCCTTACCCTGATCTCTGAAGGCAGCTTCTATAGCGAATTCTTTACAGTCTGAGGAAACATCAGTTTCTATAAAAGGCAGAAAACTTATAATTCAAACATACTGTATGTAAATTATATCTCAATGCAGCTCATTCCATAATAGATTTATTTTTTAACAATAATACTTAGTAGTTTGGCCCTAGCATCTCATCCATGTTTCTTTAAAGAAGCCAGCCTAGTTTGTTCCATACTCCTACAACCTTTTGTGTATAGTAAGTTTTTGTCGATAGTAAGATAATGATGTCTATAAAGAACACATTTGCTATAAATGCATTTTTTTTACCTAACTGAAAACATTACAAATGTTCACATAAGACGGTAAAGTGCAAAACACCCTTTTGGTCATATTATTGAAGCACCCACAATTTTACATCACTTGGGGTTAGTTTACTATCCTTTATTAGAAATGGGGTGGTTACGCATCAGTTTAGTAACCACACTGTATGTGCTGAAGAGTAAAGAGTAAAAGTAACTCCCCAGAATAACTGGCATTATTATGTCTTTAATATACACTTTGCCACAAGTTAAAAAAATAAAATCTTAGTTTTATATTATTTTCAATCTATGGGGAGGAAGTAGATTCATTATTTTTATGTGGGTTCCATTCCATCCCTGGGGTGTTGTTTGTGTGGAGCTTGTATGTTCTCCCTGTGTTTGCGTGGGTTATAAAAAGTGCACATTTTATAAAATTACTATGATTTCCCTTATATATTCACAAATTTATTGCAAATCCTTTCAAGCTTAGTACAATTTGTAAGAGTTTTTTTTACATAAAATTCCAATAGTAGCTGCTACAAGTCATTACACAATTGGTCTGATGAGATGCATGAAGCTTCTTTTCAATAATCGTATTCACCTCAGTTAACACATATTTGAGGACAGTAACTTATCAAGATCATTTTTTTCATTTAAGACAAGGTCTTCTGGAAAAGACATTTTGGTTTAACTTCTAGGTTTTACTTTTAGTGCTTTTACTTTAGAACATTGCTGGATTTCACAAAATGCATGGCACACTGTCAAAATGCTGGAATAAAAGCAAATAAAAAAGGAGTATGTTTCTTAATGAGAACATTAAAATAAGAAAAGTTATTTTCTCAGTAAGTGAAATTGGAAATATGTAATCTTTGTCAAGACAAATGTGTCTTTCATTTATTTGGTACCCAATACAAAGAACGTTGAATTTACTTTCTGCAGGGATTGGTTACATGCAAATAGTACTTTGTTACATTGTAATAGGTCAATAACAAGCTAAATTATTATTTGCAATTGGACACCTTAGAGAAATCTTTATTATTTACATGATTATTTGTAATTTCCTACATGTTTTTCAAAATCTAGCTTTAAATAACTGAATCAAAATTTTGCATAATCTCTTTTTCTGAAAATTAGTTCATATTTGTAAAGCGCTATGGCACAAGAGAGAGTTAATAATTTCACTTTTATTTCCATGCATTATATGCCATTTCAGGGTTCATGAAAATGAAAAGACTTAATTTGAGGTTTTGTTAGCCAATGAATGCTTTGGCAAAAATGAATTAGGCAATTTGTTTCTCCTCCATGCGGTTATTTGAAAAAATGTAAAAGGTTCTGACTGTTAGATGAATATTCCCTACAACAGGTATATATTCCAGTATAAACAGCTTGACAAGAAATACTTTTCAAAGCTGAAGAAATACCCACAGCAAGGGGAGGCTGGCAGACATAAGATTATTGTGATTTTAGAACTTTCTATAAGTTTAATTTACTCACCCTGGACACTTTCTGCCTATCAGCTCAGAGATGTCTTTTAAGGCAATTTTGTCTTTTTGTATTTTTATATGACATATATCCCTTAGCAGAACCAGAAAAGGAAATGAAATCAGCCTCACATGCTGTACAGAGATGAGTATGAAGTGAAAAGAAAAGAAAAATCAAAGTTCAATACAGCTGATGTAGCCATCTTCAAGAATTTAAGCAGAGAAAGTAACATCACCTTAACTGCTGTCATTCTTTTTTTTAAAGAAATTGCAAAAGCAATGACAGAAAATTAAACATAATAAGTTACATTTCCAACTGGCTAATGCTCACAAACTGATTCTCTTAGCAGAAACCCAGCTCCCACGACACGCGACCTGAGCAATGAAATCCCGCAATCACTGGAATTGCGCTGTGAAATTCTGTTCATGGGTTGGAAAACTGTCCTCTTACACTAGAGAGGTTGTACTATCAGGGTTGACGCGCATCAGTCGTGACCCATTCCTTAGTTCCTGCAGTTGCTTGGCTGGCTTCCCCACTCCTTCTTCAAATCGCTTCTCCACCACAGGAAGGACCGTTTCATAGAGGAAGGATGCGTTCTGAACGATAAAGGCTTTTTTCTCAGTCTCCTGCTCGCATCGCAGGCTGTAGTCCACATGCTGAACAGCAACCAGAATTATTTCCCGCAGGCTCTCCAGGAGCACCATGTGCAGCTCAGGGAAGTAGAGCTTCAGCCCTTCCTCCAGGAAGGCCATCATTTGCTTGGTAAAGGCAACGATGGTGTAGCTGAGATTTACCCAGCAGTCGTCACCAGTGTACTGCTCAAAGCTGCCCACCCCACAGTTGCGCATCTCTTCTTTCAATTTCCCTAGGGCCTCAGGGGTCATCAAGTTCATTTTGCGCCACATTTCCTCAGAGTTGCGGTGCTTCGTGGCCTCAATGATGATCTCCTTATAGCTGTGAAGGGCAGCTTTGATGTCTTTGACTAGGAGAGACTGGAGGGTGAAGGTGAGGTCCAGACCAATTTCACTTAGTTGCATGCAATGTTCCTTTGCGACCTTCACACACTCGGCAGCAGTGGAGAGGTTCTCCTTGCTATCAAAGACCTGCTTGCTGAAGGCATCCACAAACATCCTCATGGCTGAACGAGACCACACCACAAATGCGGAGTAGCAGCCAGTGTTGCCAGCAAAGTCCATCTCAAACTCCTTGGCGGTCTCAAGCAGGCTGGTGAAGAAGATGTTGCAGAGCTTGTGTATGTACAGCAAGGTGGCACCCTCGATACGCAGCTGACGGATGGCTGTTTGAACGGCAGCTGCCCTGTTCTTCAGGAAGAGCTCACAGGCCTTGGTGGACTGGCCCAGACGGATCAGCTGGGAAACTGCGCGCCGTGTGGCTTTGGGGCCACCCCGCAGGGACCGGTCTGGGGAGAGCTCGAATACCAGGACCTCGGTCAGCTGCCGCACCCTCTCATCTACCTTGACCCTCAGCTCCTTGACGGCCTGGTTCACTGGTTGGTCTTTCAGGTACTCATTCAGCTTGTCCAACAGGTCTACAGCTCCTTCAAAGTCACGCTGTGCAATGCAGACATCTAGATCCTCTGGCAACTCCTGAATCCATTCTAAGCTCAAGTCCACAGTCTCCTGCAAACCCATGGCCTCTTCCTCATCAAAAGGGTTGTTTGACACTTCTTGTCGCACTGGGGAATTGGGTGTCTCCTCCTCTTTCTTGTGCCTCTCCTTCACTGCCTTATTTTTTTTGGTTTCATCCAGAATCTCCAGCCACTCTTTCTTAATCTTACTGTTCTCTGCCTGGAAGATCCTGCTATCTGGAAACATCAAGATTTTGAACATGTCTTTCATGGGGGGGTTGTCTTTCACATTGACTATAGCAAAGCTGTCCAGGTCGTACAGGGCGTTGTACTTGTACCTCACTGCACCCCGTCGGTTGGGAAGCCAAGTAGCAATGAGAAGGCAATCATTCATCAAAAAGGCATGAACCTTTTGGATTTGGGACATGTTATCAACATCATATTCCAACAAATCTCCGTTATAAACTAAATACCTTCCAGGGGTCTCCATAATGTTTTTACAGCCCTCTACTTTCTCCAGAAGTGTTGTTAGCGTTCTCTGCTTTAACTCTTCGGTTTCCTTCGGGAAGGCAGCCAGCATTTCCTTCGCAGCTTCATCTTTGTCCGTGGAGAGCAGCGTCTGAGTGATGCTCTCCATTATACTCTTCTGTTCGGTTAGAATGTGGCTGAGCTGATACATTTCGCTCTCCAAATAAGAAATTTCTTTGGCAGTCTCGATAAACTGTCTGTAATTCTTGTAGACATTCTTCTTGAGGTTTTGTGCCGTCTCATCTGCCAGATTTTGTATTTTTTGCCTGTGCTCTTGCAGGTCTCTGTCACCATCTGACTGCTGAGAGAGCTGCTTAACATAATTCTGTGGATCGAAATTTGGCGATTCCAGTTGCTTACGTAGTCTGTTTGCAGTGTCTGCCATTTCCCTTTTCACAGTATCACTAGTGAAAAAAAAACTCGTCAGGTTTATGTTTATACTGCGTGTCCGAATTATTTCACGGAAACAGCCGGAAACCTCTTACAATAACAAACTGACCAACTCCCAGTGAAATCATAGGACCTTCTTTTTTTTCTGGGTGGCCAACAATGAGGTGCTCTACAAAAAACAGAATTCAATAATTTAATAAAACTATGGTTCCTTGTGTAATAAAAAAAAGAAAAATAGTTTAATAATTCAATAAAAGTGTGTTTTTTTTCTTAAAAATTCAGATAATCACCCATTATCATATTTTTGGGAATAAATTTATCACCATGAACTCCGAGTAAGTACATAGTAGGACAATGATATACAGGAAGAAGACGAGGGAGGGTAATCGTATCCCAGCATGCAGTTCAATATAGCAGCTGTTCATTTTTTATTCAACATAGGTGGTTGGTTTTATACACTCGGGCTGTTAAGTTTGTTTTTTAAAGATAAGCTGTTACACTTTTATGTGAATAGCAATGATTTTATGAAACTGCCGTCATGTCTTCATTGAAAAAACACAAGAAATAGAGATGGGGAAAACTAACTTTTTTTCCCAAAGTGTCACTTTGACGATAGCTAACTAGTAATTAGCTTCAGTGAACAGTGCTAGTATTGGGATGTCAATGGACGAGGATTTCTTGCTAGCTCTTCAGTTACAGGACCAATTTGATCAAGAAGCGTCCGTCTCCATCGTTGACGACGATGACGATTACGTTCAAAATAAGAAGAGGAGAGTGGAAACCAGTGATGAGCTTGTTACTTACCCTCGGTCCTCTTTTAGACCTGAGAGACCGCTGTCCATAGTGGACGAGTCGTGGGAGATGCTGGACCCCAGCCCCGATGTCAGGGCGATGTTCCTGCAGTTCAACGACATGTTCTTCTGGGGCAGACTGGCCGGGGTGGAGGTGAAATGGAGCCCACGAATGACACTGTAAGCCACCCAACTTTTCCGTTGCTTGTGAATGACATCCAGTATACCCTGGAGATGCTCCGCTGCCACGTTTTATATTCCAACATGATGTTACTGCATTTCATAGTCGTTCCGCTAAGTACCCGTGATAAATAATGTCGAACAGATTCATACCCCACGTTTATATTTCAACATTTCAAAAACTGTAGCTAATGATAGATTTAAATTCCTTTAAAAAGAAAGTAAGACTTTTTTTAAAGAGTTTTATTAGCAGTTCGATCCATGTATGGTTTTGTGAGCTTTAAAAATCTACCGAGTATTTTTTTTGCTCTTCTTATGTGCATAGATAATTAAAATACTAAAATTATCTGCTTTCTGCTTAATCCGTTTAAATTGTGTGGATGATTGGCGTTTGTAAAAGTCTGCCACATAGTTGGAAGAAGTCTTATCTGATTCTCATGTTGTGAATATAACGCTTATATAATTATATAATATTAAATATTCCTATATCTATTGTATATACAGTACTATATATTAGTATTACTATTATTGGAGTGGAGCGCACTTTAAGGCACAGTAGGACAAGTGTTAAAAATTAGGCTAGCTCTTGAATAGTCTTGAATAGTCCTGAGTACTTCTTGATATTTAGTTTTCCAGATATTTAGATTCGTAAACATTAGACTGTCATTTCAAAAGTTTTTTTTTCCCTTCTCATAAAATACCCTAGTTTTTTGGGGGAATGACGGAGTTATACAAGTTGAGGCTACTGCTATTTACTCAGATGCAGGGGTAGACATATTTGTATTTGTATGCAAGTCTGATCCATTTCAGATTTTGTGAGCTGTATGCTTTTGATAAATGAAACTGATGACACAAGTAATCAGATATGCATGTGTGTGTAAACAGGGTATTTAGAATTTATTATTTCCAGTTTTGTCTCTGCAGTTTCCTTAAATAAGGTGACAAGCTTTAAATATCCTGCAAGATCCTACCCTTCACGGAGCCTAAAATCTGAAATGGCTCTAACTGCTGTGAAGTGGGAGTGCGTGATGGTTTGAAAGGTGCTGTTTTCCTGCCACAGGTGTGCAGGTGTGTGCTCATACGAAGGGCGAGGAGGCCTGTGCTCAATCCGCCTCAGCGAACCGTTGTTGAAGCTCAGACCGCGGCGGGACCTGGTTGAGGTCAGTCCTGCCGGTCTGCTGCATCGGCTTGCGTTACCTGTGGAATTTCCAAGGCTAAACTAACAAAGCCCCACAGTCTTGTGCCCTTGTTCTTTATTTTCTGAATTTCTGAATTCTGAATTTCTGAAATCCAGTAACTTTTACTTAGAAGTGAATGAAAGGACAAGTTGAGTTTGTCGTTATTGCCAAACAAGTTAACTGAGCATCAAAAGAAACATAAGCCTTACAACTGCAACCCTTACCATCAGGTGCACTGATATTTTATTGACCAGGTTGTTAATGCTGTCTTGTGCAATTGTGTCCCATTACTCTGAAAGAGCCTAGACACACATCACTGGGCTGGTTCACTGGTCTCTGAGCCCTAGATGCCAAACTTTGTCCCAGCTCATCCAGCTGGTCTTTAATGGGGCTCACGTGAATCCAGGATGCATTCAGTTTATACTTTCTGAGCCCTCACCAGTCTGCATATACTACCACTCTAAATTTCCTATTAAATTCCTACATTCACTGTATTACACACTTAAGTGATTAAGTCAAGGCATTTGTTTGCAGTAGGTAGTAAATACGCATCTCCCTCTGAGTTTTCAATGCTGTCACATGTCTGGAAAAGTGTTCAGTGCACTGAACTTAAGAAAGTAGAAAAGGTTATTTTTTTGAAAGTTCATGACATGAGTATGACTGAATATTTGTGTTTTTTTCCAGACGCTCTTACATGAGATGATCCATGCGTTGCTTTTTGTCACTCAAAATAACCGCGATCGGGATGGACATGGACCAGAGTTCTGCAAGCATATGAACAGGATCAACAAAGCCAGCGGGACCAACATTACTGTAGGTGACTGATGGGGAAGAAAGCACTTTTTATATAAGAACAACATTAGAGTTTGTTTTTCAAAAATAAAAATCAGTTATTTAAAAGGTCCTTCAAATTATTTCAGTTTTTTGTTTTGCATTAACACCACAGTGAGGTTTTGTTCTTAAGTCATAACGTTGATTTTTTTTCTTGAACAAGTCTTGGATTTATTTAAACCCCAGCCCCACTGAGGAGGGGAGAGAACAAAAGTAAAAACAAAAGAGAAAGAAAAGAAAGAAAAACAGGGAGCAAAAGGTACTAAGACAATCAATATGAAACATCAGATATACGAGCAGTGTCCAAAGCCAACATTGTAGCAAAAAGTACAGGGTGCTGCCAAGCTTTCTTTCTAGAAGCAAATTATCATGTAAACATCCTGACCAAACACAAGAAAAAGAAATCAGGCTCTATTACATATCATGCCATGGCCTTTTATGCTGCAGTTATCGCTGCTAAGAAAACTAATTTGTAAAGCATTAAAAGTCAAGAGCATTGAGTTATTTCATATCTCAGGAGATGGGGGATGATATTATCCCACATATAGCTCAACACAGACCTCACATATTTCCAAAATGTATTAAAATGTGTAAAATAAGTGCCCATTACCCCAGATATAGAGAGGCAGGGAAGATCTGTTGAAACTCATCTGACCTCTCTGTCTATGGTAACATAGGCCCTGTGGATAAACATGGAACTAATAAGGTGGTGTGCCAGGTTTTTGGATGATGATGATTATAATAATCCTTACAGGATTACAGAATTTCAAGTGGCTGCTCTGCTCAGAGCACTTTCCAAGTAATGGAGACTCCCCTCCACCACCTCCAATGTGTAGCCCCTACCTTGATGATGTAATGGCAGCCATAGAGCACACAGGACACTCACCACACATCAGCTATCAGTGGGCAGGAGAACAGAGTGATGAAGCCAGTTCATAGATGGAATAATATTACCCCAGATATGACATGTGGCTTAATGTTAGTTTATTCTTTTCTCTTTGCTGCAAAACTGTCATGTTATGTTTATGTGCTTTATATTTAGCTCTTAATAAATCAAAGGAATATGTATATTTACTATAAATATATAGGAATATTCTATTTTTGCCTAGTTCTGTTGTGTATTATGCAGTTATCACTTAATTTTTTATTTTAATGTTTTTGAATAAAGGAACTACATTTTCTTCATATTACTTTATTGTTGGCTGCAATAGTATATAGAGTATGACATTTAAATTTGTTTAGGTCTGCACAATGCATTTTTCAATACATAACCATTATTTTATTTTCAGTTTTTTCTGATTATTTTAATGATCTTAAGCGATGCAATCATTCAGAGTGATTGTGAAGTTCTTGAACAAATATAACACACAAGGCTATCCTGTAAAGCTTCACATTTTTATTCATAATATTCACTGCTTTTAGGATGACATTTTCAAGTGCCTAGATTTATCCATGTCAATTTCAAAAAAGAGAGGAAAGCAGGTTTTACTTGTAAAACATGAGCTTCCAAGCAAGAAGACAAACTGCAGCATTTGCCTAGTTCCAGTACTTTTGCTAAACCTTGTGAACCTTTTACTGAAAAAAACAATGAACTGGGTGATCCAATATAGTACCTTTTCAGTTATAACTGATCTTATGTTCTTTAGCAGGAAGGCAGGTAAAAACAGTTCCAGTCTCAGCTAATCCCAACAGTGGACACCTGTGCATTGGCCCATGATGAGTATGACTCCTATTCTTTTGTGCCATAATAAATGCCATTCTGACCCCAGAGCCAGCTTCACGGGATGGGAGAATGAGACAGGAGACAGACTTTAGCTTGAAATGCAGTAGGAGAACTTTAGATTTTATAACCTATTTTTGGATTTTTTCACAATATCGGCCATGCCACATGGGGGAGGGGTTGGCAGTTTGGCAAAATTGGATGATCGGCGAGTGCTGATGGATTTCCGCGGTGTCTTTCAGATCTACCACAGCTTCCATGATGAGGTGGACCTGTACCGGACACACTGGTGGCGCTGCGACGGCCCATGCCAGACCCGCCGGCCCTTCTTTGGGTACGTGAAGCGTGCGACTAATCGAGCCCCCTCTGCCCGAGACCCCTGGTGGCCTCAACACCAGCAAACATGCGGGGGCACCTTCATCAAGGTCAAGGAGCCTGAAGACTATGGGAAAAAAGGCAAGAAAGCGGAGAACAACAAGAAGGGTGGGACTCAACAGAAGGACAAGTCCACCCCTACTGCTGCAGGTGATGTCTCTTTACTTACCCCCACTGCATAATGCGCTCAGAGATGTGACTTTGTATAATCTGCCTCATATAACTTGTTTTAACATAAGAATGGTTACAAAGAACAAAGTTACAAATGCCCCATCTAGTTTTCAATAGTTAATCCCTAATTGATCCAAGGATTTTATCCAGTCATTAGCGAAGGCAATTAGCATGTGGGCTTTGTCAACATCGTCGCCCACAATTTAAATGTTAAGTTAATGAAGAAAATCTGATTTATATAGATAAGTTTTTCTTATCCCAGTTGTACACAGTATTTTCCCTATCATTTACTCTCTTTTGTCTTGCTTACTTTGATGAGCTTTCATGGTTAGTGTTTCCTTCATACTGCTAAAAGGAACAGTGTCATAGATTCCCTGTTCTACAGAGCCCTGTTAATCTGCAATGAGAAGGTTGTGAAATTAAGAGGAGGTAGTTATGTCTATTGTATTTCATTGTTTGGTAGTAGCTAATTAAGAGAAATTTAGCCAGCTGTTTTGTTAAAGGTCTAATGAAATCCACTTGAAAACATGATTGAGTAGCTTATTATTAGACATCCACCACTATTCTGAGTAAAGCAGAGCTGCCTGTTATCATTTGGAATTTTTGAATTGCTTTATGTAATCTAGATGTGTCTTTCAGTTTGTCCAGACAAAATCCATTAGGTACTAGGTAGGTATTAGGTCTTTGTCAATACTTTATAAGATTTGCAATACTTGTACTACATTAAATCCCTTCTTTAACCATTTTCCATTTATTCCATTGTAATAAGTGATGATGGTTGCTAGTATGTAGTTATAGGTGTTAGATTATCATATTTCACAAATAGATTATGGTGAGAAAATAATTAAATAATTAGTTAAATAATTTTAAAATAAATTAAAATATTTTTAATAATGCTTTCTAGACAGTATTATAGTATATAATGGTTTCCTGAATAACCAATAAAAAGAAGGAGCTTAATGTATTTTAATGTTGGCTTTGAAGGCTGTGAATAGCATTGAATCAATTGGAATTGGGTTTATATTGGAATTTTAAGATTTACTCACAGACCAGCTGAAGTTTAATGTTAATTATGGACCATTATGGTTAGGAGATGGGACCTCCATATGAACAGATTCATATGGTTATTGAGAACAACAGTACACACTGGAGGGCGCTCTATGTACATTTTAGAAATGCAGTAGATGCCATATGCTTCACAATGCACATTTTTCTCCATGAAGCTTGATACAGTGATTACAGTGAAATCGGCATGCAAAGTAATTAGATTATTTTCATTATGTGACATAATAAAAGTCAAAAGCTCCCTAAGCCAGTAGCAGCTGTGTGAATTGTGAAGAGACATGGCAGACTGGCAGCAGACCTTGTAGTGCTAGTCCTTTTTTAATACCTGAAAACATTTTAAAGAAAAAGGAAGATATATAATCTTTGTATAGAATATTGCTGACTGCATGTATTGCCATCATCAATGCATGTGATATTCTCAGTGTTACATCGATTGTTACATTGCCTAATTTGCAGCCTTCCTCACATGTTTGAAAAGTAAATCAGGTTGTCAACAGCCGAGCATAAAACTACACAACCCATCTGCAGTTCCTCTTGTACAAAGCCCTGCAAAATATGGTTTGTTGATAGTGGTGCTAAAATACCATGCTGGCTAATATTTGTAAGGGAATGCTTTTAATGAAGTGCATTCCAGCCTGGATGTATTCCGTTCAGTTCTTAAATCACATGTTAAATCTTTTTGGTAAAAAAAAATTTGGAGGACATTTTTTAAGAATTCTAAAAAAATATTTCAGTGAGCTCCATTTCAGATGTGTAAGTATTACTGATTTTTGCTGCAGAGAATTTGACTTGAATTAACATAACTATCCCAACAGACAACTGGATTAATCCTGAATTATTTAGCAAGAAGAGCAAGCACTTTTCTGCCCTTCTTGTCTGACCATGCACATAACAGTATAGAAAATGAATACAAATTTCAAATACAAATACAAAAATTATCCAATATCCAACAGCACAACATTTTACTTTCTCTTTTATTCATTATAGGCCACTCTGGATCGCTGGACATACGAACTCTAATTCCATTCAGTGGAAAAGGCTTTGTTCTTGGACACAGCTCCCAGGCAACATCCTCTCAAGAAGTCCCCAGAGATGGGAGACCCTCATCTGAGCACAAGAGCACTCCCAGCCTCCTCGGGTCCCCACCAGGCAACAGGAAGGCTGAAGACGCTGGTGCGCTTGAATGGCCAGGATTGAGCAGTTCCTTGAAAAACAGCAGCACTGGCAGTGGGGACCCTAAATCTGGAGGAAACCAAAGTGTCCCTCCAAAAGGAAATCCAACAGGGAAAAGATCTGTTGGCAACAGTAAAGCTTTTGTTAACATTAATGGGTCTCCCATCAGAATTTTAAAGGCCAATGGTCAGTTACAAAAGCCATTAAGTAATTCCAGAGACTTTTTTGGTGCTAAGCAGAGGCTTGTTAACGATCTCTTCCAAGCAAAAGGAGCAAAATCTCTAGAAGGACCTGGGGTGAGCAAAGGTGGTACCATTTCCTCCAAAGCACAAAGTGAAGTCAGGGGCCAATCTAAGTTAATGAAAAATGAAAGGTCCCCCACAGATGAATCCCATTCGAAAGGTTTCAAAGCATCTGAGAAGAGGGGAGGTGTAAGTGCCACTGAAGTCCAGAAATCAGACACCTCAGAAATCCCAGGCTGCTCAAGAGATGTAAAGCCAAGTCCTTTTGAGCCTCTTCATTCAAAGTACTTTAAATCGCCGGGAAAGTCAAAGACGGACGTCCCAAATGCTAGGAAGAGACTTCGGGATGAGGGCAGCTCAGCACACATTTTTGATTTCTTCCAGAGGACAACAACAGAGTGGAGCAAACCACAGACTCTAGCTGAGAGCACTGTGACTACCACTCCTTCACCTGTGGTGAACATCCCTCCCAGCTCTGCCAATTGTATGGTCAGCTGCCCTGTGTGCCACACAAAGGTGCCGGAGTCCACAATCAATGAGCATTTAGATACCTGCCTCAAGTGAGGCCTAGCGGTTATCTGTGGTCCAGAAGCAAGTCTGTTAAAGTATAAGCTTAAACAGAAGAAATGTGCTTCTTCTACCTTAGATTAGTCTTAACAGCCTATGTGGTTTGGATGAATAGAGTATCATATTTATAACTGGCTAATAAGTGAACACTCCTAGTCTTGAGGGCTATACTGTTGCATGGTTTCTTAATTATTCCTAGAACAGCAAGTGCTCACATTGGTTCATGTAAACAATATTAACATGCAGCTCAGGGGTAATGAAAAATCTGAAAGTCCTGCTGTGCCTTTGAAATGCTTTTTGTGGCATAGACAGAGTAAACTGTGTAAGTCTTAGTGAGATCATGTAAAAAGCGTTGTAGGGCATACGGAAAAGCAAAGGTAATATTTACCCTGGAAAATGTCTGTGACAGGCCATCTTGGAATACTGCAGTTTACGGCTTTGCCAGCTTTAATTTCACTTGCTGAACCATTTTAGCACTTTAGATATGGATCTGTCAAATCAATCCAAGTATTTTAATATGTGGAAGAGTAGTATTAAAAATGCATTTTAAATATTTATTTCTATTTGCAAAAATGACCAGGAAACAAAAAAAGGCTTTACATTTTAGAAGTGCAATTGTATTTATATGTATTTGGAGCACAGACTCAGGTTTCACATTTACAACATTTACCTCGAGGTGTACTAGAAATATATTCTTATTTGAGTGAATGTTTTAAAACAAAAGCCTATTACATTGTTCATACCCTGGACAGAATCTTGCAGTGTACGATGCAGGCTCCAGTCTGTAGTGGACCTAATGTTTGAAGTCACCCCTAAATCGGATGATTATAATAGGTGCACAATCTCTGTCCTTAAGGGAAATAACATAGAATGTTTTCAAGGTCTCTTTTAATCACTGACAGCTGAAGACCCTTGCATAGCTTTAAATTAGCCCAGTTAAGCTGATTAATTCAATTAGGTCAGTAAGAGCAGAGGTAGAACAAAAAATCACAGATACTGCAGCCCTCCAGGACTGGAGGTGAGCACTTGTAATGAGTGACTGAAACCACTTTCTCTTCTTTAATTGATACAGTTTATATCTAAACCATGATAAAACTAAATTAAAATATCTTTTTGTTGAATTCATGCACATTATTTCTATGAGTAACATTCTCTAGTTGGCCAAGTATACAAAATAGACAAAGGAAATACTGGCAAAATTAACTACAACATTGCATTAAAGGGGTGGTTTATTAAAATGAAAATAATTTTTTGGAACAATTACTAGTCACAGCTATTCAGTAAATATGAATTTTTAGACTAAAGCATTTTGGATCAGTAATACTTAAAGATTCAGTAGCAACTTCAAATACTAGGTGTGCTTCTGTCTGGAGTACTGTGCAAGTGTGCAGAATTCTGGTTTGAATATATCTAAAATTCTTATTTTTTTATTTAATATATAATTATTTTCCTAGTGCTGTAGATGAGAGTGTGTACTTTTAACATGTATTTCTTAATATTTCTCATCCACATACAGAAACCTTCTCCATTTCTAACACAGTGCTATATGAAGTGTGATTCATTTAGTTAACTATGATTATGTAGGAATTGGAAAATGAATCATTACTTCTGTGTTGAAGTTCTGTGGGTCTGGCCAATGTCAGGCTTGTTCTGATGTGGTCCACTGCGATGACCACTACAACTTCTGTTACAGCTCTTTGAAACAGACAGGACTCCATCACTCAGTTTTGTTACAATTGTCTCTGTAATTATTTAAAGGAAAAAAAGCTGGATCAGTATAGCAATTAAAGAGCTTGTTGTAAGTACTGCGATGGAATTCATGGAATGAAAGGGCATAATGTGCACCTTTTAATGCTAAGTCAGGTATTCAGTAGAATAAACCAATTACAAAATTTACTTCAAAGAAAGTGGAGACTTAGGCTAACACAGTTGATTCATCTTATTGATAAAAATGAGATAAACAATGAGATACCCTAAAGCCTTAAAGATTGCAATACATACTCCACATCATCAGTGTTGCTGCTTCTCGGAGTGAGAAGTACTGTACCTGCACAGTTCCTTTTGCAGACTTGTATTACATTTCAAAAGAGTTGTACTACTTTGTGTTGTATGTGAGATGCTCATATTTTGAAAGGATCATAAAAGAAGAGTTTGATTTTAATAAGGAAGAGTTTACTTTTACAGGATTTTTATCATTAAGATGAGGTAGTGTTGGCAGTAGAGCTGCCCTTTCTCTCCCCATGTTCTAACAGACTTTTAGAACAGTGACTTTTTTCCTCTTATTCTGGCAGCGTGTTTACTGTGTGTCTGATTCTTTTTAGGTCAGCACTTCAATGATTTGGCTATTTAAATTGAGGAAGAGCTGTTTATTCAAAATAGAGATAAAAATAGTAGACAGGATTATTTTCAATCAAACAATTCTGTTCCTCATTATTGGCTTAAAACAATGAAAATGTGTTAATCACAATCAAGAATTATTATTAAGTAATTAAATCAAAACACCTCATTTCCATTTACTGTTTTTGTGACTTGTTGACAAGTTCTTTATTTTGAGATTTTATATTTTTCACTTGTGCCAGTTTTTACAAGATGTTTGTAGACAATTATTGGATTATTGGATTTTAAAATATAATCCAGGTAATTACTAGAATTTGACTTGCAAGTGAATATTATACACCATTTTTAGCCAAAAGTGTTTTAGCCAAGAATTTCAATTCTGTTTCTGAACAAAGATTACTTCTAGATTTTTACCATATGCTTTACAGGATATGTTAAAAAGATCCCGTGATAAAAACCTCTGACATTGAGAAGGCACTCCGTACCACTGGTGGGAGCATTTCGAAAACTTTGCCATTGAAATGCTGCTGTGTTTTTGAGTTGTTAATTGTTAGCATTGGTCCATGGTTTAAGAGTATTTTGCTGTTTTTTGTTTCTTTTTCCATGTGATTGTGAATTGTTCATAAATTAATAAATTAGAATCATATTAAAAATTCCAGAGTTGTATTTTTCTGAATAGTCTCCCGGATGTCTTCTGGATCCCAAGTCCAGAACTAGCAGAATTGGGAATATCCTCAGAGTATACCTGGCTGTTTATTTGATGGATGAAATCACAGTTTACCATACATTTATCAAGCATGACCATATTCTTTCATGTTAAACACACCGCGAGTGATGGAAGAATCTAGTCCAGCCCTTTTGTAAGGGAAGCCACAGTTCTGACAGTGTTGCTAGTAGTCTTCTGCTGCTTGTGTCACTGTAGTTCCTGAGGATATGTCATGGGTTCGAATTGTGATATTACCTTGTACATTGGAGGTTATATTTCTAGTTCCTGCTTAGTCTTTTCTGTTTAATACTAAAAAGAGACCAATCTTTTAAGCTGTTTAGGTAATTTTCTTAAGTTCTGGAATGTTATGGCAGTTCTTTGAACTGATTCCAAAGCAGCAATATCTTTTTGTTATAACCTGGTGACCACAGCTGTGCACATTATTCTAAATGCTGTCTTATTAATGCATTATTTTACCATAGTATCCCCTGAATGTCTATGCTATTATTTATATATCGAAATACTTGGCATTATTTTATATATTTCTCACATTTACTGAAGGATGAAAACAATGTGAATATGAAACTCAAAAATGCAGTATGAAGGCCTTTTCATTGCTATCATCTATTTCATTCACTGTTTTCCATCTTGGACTGAACTTTGTTCTTGCTACCTGCTTCTATTATGACATTACTGTATGTGTTATTTGTCAGTGTTTCCAAGTAATGAATAGGTTATTGATGAGATTATCAACCTTGTTAAAAAACTAGACCATGGGGCCAGTCTCCTGTGCTGGTGAGATAAATGGTTTCTGGTTTACCTTCCACCTGACTACTTAATTACCAATTGAATTCATAATTTGCTTAAGATAGCTAAAGCGTTTATTTGTTCTAATGAAGTTGGAGATTTACAGATACCGAAAACACTTGATGGACTCCAATATTCAGTCCATCGAGCCATTTAGTGGATAGAAGCTAATTGATCACAGGATCTCAACCTTGAAGGATCTTCAATCTTATTGAAAGAAGGCAGGGTATCGGCTTCTGTGACATCATTTTGTAGTGATGCTTTCATGTGTTTCGGTTTATTTTTAACAGTCTGACCCAAGCAGTACAATTACCCTTACTAAGGAGAATTTTAAAGATTTAAAAATTTTCTGCTCTGGCCAGGTTCTCAAAACGTACAGCTGATCTCTTTTTATATTCATAGATTCCTTGTGTAATTGGAGGAGGAGTCTTTGAAAGAGAAGTTACGCCTTTTTATTATTTGTATTAGTAATGTTCCAAGTTCAGTCTCTTCAAGCTAAACGTAGTGGATCCTATCAATTTTCAGCTACATCCATTTCAAAAGAAATTTGATTAGCTTTTTTAGCAGTTTGCAGCATTTATATCTGTGACAGTATATTCCAGAAAAGTCATGAATGGAGTTATTCCAAATGTACATTTATAATGAAATTCAGAACCAATCCCTTTTATCTGATTATATTAAGATACACTTTGCATTGTGATATTAGGTATTCTGGAAATGCTTACTACCCAGTTACATTCCTATCTAATTTTCTCTTACATTGTTGTTCCATGATTGGGACATTTTTGTTGTAATGTCAATCCAATTAAAGCTTAAAGAAGACTTCAAGTATTCTAGAATACTTGAAATGATAAAGACTAAACGATTACATTGAAAGAAGGAATTTAAGAATCTAGTTAGCGACCAAGTAGAGCAACAAGCCTGTAGGTTTTTTTTTTAATTAACCACCACAAACAACGCAACAGTCTCCTGCAGATGTTTCTTTAAGTATAATATTGTACATAGGCCTAAACCCGAGCACCATTAAATCTGTTACCGTTATCCTAAATAGAAAGCTGGTTTCCCAAACAGAGAGGATGTTTGTGAACATTCAAACAGCCTTTCCTGTCACTCAGGGCGACGCCCGCTGACTGCAGAGCCTGAGAGCGAGTTAAAGGGACAGGAAGTCGACTGCAGGAGATTAGTTGATGACGTTTTGGGATACGGAGCTCAAGTAAGGGTGTTTAGCGAGCGCTGTGCTTTCCAGAGATACTCTCTTTTCCCGGATGCAGAAATCTAATACGGGATGTAACATTTACCGGTGTATGTAGAACTTGGGTCGTTGCGGTTGCTATTCAGAAGGGCCAAGTATGAACGGTAAGTCAGCCAACGGCACCGCGGGTGGGGGCGTCCTGCCGGCCTGCATTGAAGGGCTACCGCCGCTCCCGAAGAGCCTGAGCGGCTTGCTCAACTCGAGCGGAGGGTCGTGGAGGGAGATGGAGAGGATGTACGCGAAGAAGACAATGATCCAAGACGACCTGAGCCGCGGGCGCAGCAATACGGACAGTCTAGCGGCCAATAAACCAGCCAACCTGGATGCAGCCCTGGCACTTCTCAGGAAAGAAATGGTAAGGCACGTTTCTGACCATCGAATTTCTGAAGGGGGTCACTGTACCTTTCGTCCTTTCGTCTAAAAACGGTACCTGTGCAGTATTTCGGTTTTAAAATCCCAGAAAAAATAGACCATTGTTGAGTGAAAACATGAAGTGAAAAGAAATCAACAGCTGTGCCTCAGGATCATCAGATTACTGTAATCGTTTAATCCTCGCTGTTGTTGAAAACCCGCATTGTGTAGTTATTAATCTTGCTCAGCGCTACAATTGTGCCATTATCTGGGCGAATGTATTTCTGGAGAATTTCGACAAAGGGATTGTTCAGTCATGTGACACAATATTTGGTCAGTACGCAAGGTCTATGGCCCTGCTTCCAAAAACTTTCTGCGTTTATAAAGCAGGCACTGTTTTAAAAAGGGGACTTCTTATTTTTACCTGTGTAAATAAATCGATAAATGTTTTCTGGTTTGTTTATACGAAATGTTCTTTATTTTAAAATGCATAGGTGTGCCTTTTCCTGTACATAGAGGTTAAGAATTGTTTTGACCAAGCTGGATATACTGAACAAAGTAAACAAAAGTCTTATTTATTTAGAGACCAAAGCACTAGGTTTTCAGTGTTGACTTAAATAACTGAAGCGATCAGTTTTACTCCCCTCATTTTCTAAAAAAGTTACTTGCAAACTAAACAGATGTTATCGGCCGTCGTAGAAGAGTCAGCATATTGTTTTTGTATAGTTTTAGAATTAAAAGGCATAAAGGGTTTAAAAACAGTGTGATTCCACTTTTTAAAGCGAGATTTTTAACTAAGCGTTACGTATCCTTTTACTTTTAAAAACTAGGTTATTGTGTTATTCCTTGCCAAAGTATGCATAGTCTTTTAGTCTTGCAGAAAGCCTAGGAATACGACACAACATGCCTGTTCATATCCAGAGGGCGTACTTTTTCAGCCGAAGGCATTTTGTAAGATTTTGTGAGGAAAACCTTTGTAGCAAATGTCTCTGGAGGATGTGGACGAAGTCTACATGGGGCCGCCTAAAATCGCTAAGAAGCGAAAAGTCACCTTTCACAGTTTAGTTAAAACTTAATCACGAAACTGCTGTAAACCTGTTAAAGATATAAACCAGTTTTTAATCTCTAGCAAATTAAACATTTGGGAAATGTATTTTAGGTATACAACCTACTCGATTCTCCATGGTTGGTCTTGCTATCTAAAAAGAGTAAAGGTATTAAAGTTCATAGCACACAAAAATGTAATTGGTACTGTACAAAGCTAAACAGAGCAATAAGCCGTTTTGCCTTAGATGTTCTTAAAAATGTGGTGTTATTTTTTCAGATATGGTCCTGTGCCCAATTTCTGATACCTTATGATTTCCAGTGCCCTTTCTGATTTGAAAAGCTTTCTTTTCTCTTTTTTATCCAACTTGCCAATTTTCCCTTTCTGTTCCATGAAGATTTACTGGCATTTACAGCAAGTTTACTGAGCCAAATGCCAAAAGGCCAGGCCTCCTACCATGAGGGTATTGTTATTCTCCAGGTTCCATGGGGGTGACCTCACCTTCTGTAACGGGCTTATTGCCGAATGTGAACACATGGTGATAAGGGGGTGTGTGCCTGAAACGTTGTAGAACTGATGTGATCAGGTGATTGCTCTGCTTAGCGTGGTGTCTGCAGACTAGAATCTCCACCATGGAAATTTGCAGTTTAAGCAAGGCAGGGACCCACCTTTTGTTTATTGTTGCTTGCTGATCACATGAAAGAAAGCACGGAACAGAAATGTTGGTAAAACTGGAAGCAACTGAGGTCTCCGACCTGGACGTGTCTTGAGAATCTGGAAACTGTGTCGATTCCAGGTTGTAAACAGAGAACATCAGTGACACGTATCAACATCACTCTTTTCTTTCTTTTTTTTAAAGGTGGGTTTACGCCAGCAGGACATGTCTTTGCTCTGCCAGTTGTGGTCTCTTCATGAGTCGATTCAGGAGTACAAAGGCAGTTGCCAGGATCTGACGGCAGCATCCAATGTGGATGGGTCATACGGCATGGAGAATGGCTACTCTGATGATGATGACGATTTTGACCAGGACTCCAGCATTAGCCCCTCTGAGCTTCCAATTATAGATGAGCCTGCTCCCAAAAATGGAACTAGCAAGGACAAGTGGATACATGACTCTTTCCATATCACCATTTAGAAGAGTGGAGAACACCACTCTCTGAATGTTTCATTAACGCACGGCAAATTGCTCTTTTTCTAGTGGCAATACCCTTTTCTATAACAAGATTGCCGAGTGTTTGGTTATGCTGGCTTGTAGTTTTTTTTCTTCAACATACTTTTATATATATTTTATTAAACTACTATTTATTATATAAAAATGGTCAGAAGGCAATTCTGACGCATTGCATAAAGTCGGTGTGTTTCTTTTTTTAAATTTAACAGACAAATGTTTTTAAGGTAAACTTATTCTGGAAATTTGACATAAATGCTGAAAATTGCATTGTTTTTCTCCCACTTGTTTAGAGAAAAATCCAAGTATAAAACCTACTGGATAGCCAAGAATTGTCTTTCTGGTTCAGTACAGTTAGACTCGGATCATATTTGTGGTGCTATAGTTTTCATACTAAACTCTGGATATTTTATACACTGAACTAAGCAATTTCGTTGTATAAAAAGTCTTAACACAGTGATTTATAGTTTTTGGTGTACAAGGCGCCGGCCAACTTCAGCTTTCCCAGAAGCAAGGAGTTTAGAATTTCACTGTGAAAGGCGGAAAGCGGTCAGATATTCAGGAGGAGGTCGAACCCTAACCTTGCCAACTCTGTTCTCCTATGTCGAAATATTATACATCCCTCCTTCCAAGCCAGCATCACCCTTGCAGCATGGCTAGTAAACTGAAGGGGTTTTCCAGCATCTTTGTCCTTAGGAGCAGGCTGTTTCTTCATCTAGTTATGTTAAACTGATAAAAGCAAACAAATTCAAATTGTGCCTCAATTTAAAACTTATCTTAATTAGTGTTTGAACATGCAACTGAATTTGCAGCATGCACAGAAACAGGGTGAATTTGAGTGAGAGAAGAGTGATGTCACTGAAACATGGAGAAAAGGGGTTCCGTAACCAAATATGGTACTTTGTTTGCTAAAGTAGTCCTGAGAGTCAACAAGTAGCTGACCTGAGAGAAGTAGTCCTAACCCTTTGCTTGTGGTTTACAGATTGTTTAACCACGTTATGAACTCAACATGCAATGACTGTGAACTGGTCCACATCACCTCATTATTACTATGCTTGTATTTGAGGTGTGCATCAAGACTAATGGTATATTTAGATAACATGTACATTTACAGCAGGTCTGCACTGAAAACACAAGTAATGTAAGAAATATTATTCATAATACAATTTAAAACATGTTGAAATCTATCCTGACAAACTTATATTTGAAAAACTACAAACAAAAACTGGGCCTTACCTAGTGGTGTGGTGAATAGGTACAATACCTTATGTTAAAGAGGATACAGGACCCCCTGTGCTAGTTATCTATTAATGCAAATTACTGTTGCTATCTGCTGTGCTACACATATTCCCAAAATATCATATCCATTAATCATATTTAAAAAAATTGTATTCAGATTCCCAGGGTACAGAAAAAGTCATATAGGTGAAACCATATCGGCAAAAATCATAGACCTAAGGATTACTGTGTGTTTTTGGTGCACCTTATGAGTGGTGTGTCTTTATGGTGCTAACACTACATGGCTTCTGTACTCTGTTGATACCAACTTTCCATGTTTTTCCACCCCAAGCAGTGGGGTGGAGCTTGAGTGAATTGCCTACTTGGAGTTAATGGAGGGAGGGGAGACTTGTTAGATAATAGTCTGGCACCATAGGCGTTACATAATTATTGTGTAAAACAGTTCTGTTTTGGAAGCCTCTGCATGTCCTTTGTTTTTATGTAAAAAGATAAAAGATACGTTACAAAGGTATATCTGTCATGTTTTTTAATCAAACATTTTCCCCATCTATACAACATTTTTCTGTAAAGCAGTGGTGTGGCTTGTAACCTTTTGTTTACCAATCAAATGTACAATTTTTATTTCACGGTATTACGACATAAAAAATGTTGTTACCACATATCTTCTTGAATTTGTGTTTCCTGAAAACAATGAAGCTCATTCTTATGTCTTAAATTACTGCTTTTATGTAATCTTTTAAATTTTAGTGATAAAATTCCTGCAGAATGTGATCCATTGATGATAAAATGCTTCTGTTATCCAACTGGCAAAAAGTTATTGTTCCTCCCAAAAAATATCAGTAGTGCTTTTTTGCATGCCAAAATAAATGGCAGTATTACTTTTGCCTTGTGTCTAACCTGAGAGCTACAGCTTGCTTCAACGATATCTGATGAGTTCAGTGTTCTCATCTGACTTTGTAAGTGTGATACAGATGTATCATTTAAACAGTGTTGACTGTAGATTGAACTGGAAGCCAACTTGCACCCTAAGTTGGAGATAGAGATTTAGGTTGCAAGAACTTGGGGTGAAATTTAAATTCTGTTCAAGTTATTCTCTGAAATGAACTTGTCACTGAGTCAAGAAATGTATTTCCTTGGATTACCATGTGCATTTTTCCAGTAAGTGACCATGCAGCTGTACTGTAATGTTGTTAAGAAGGATTTAACAAAGCTGAATTTTTATATGCTTTCAACTGTTTTTTTTAAACTCAGCTATGCAAGTAAGTGATCAATTAAAGATAAAACTGGCACATTAAAGAGTAATCCAATATAAAACTCTGTTAAACTAATGCTTGTTTTTGTTCAATGCTTTAAACATATTTCAAATAAAATCTGCAGTAAGCTTTCCTCTTGGTTCAAATCTTGATCAGACAATTGACATCCAGGAGGATATGCCTCACAGGCTTATATTTTATAAAGAACATCAGTAATTGCGTACAGAGGTGACTAAACATGGGTGCTGACATAATTAGCAAGGTGTTGCATGAGTCAAAGGTAACTGGATTAAAATACATTTTGGAGACGTTTAGCTGGTCCACCCTAAATATTTCTCTACTCAGTTCTGTAAGCTGTGTTTTCTCCTAGCATCAGGTGCACAATGGAGATGGTTCTGTAGGAACACTGTATCTGCTCTTAAATAGCTTTTCAAAAGCTGTAAGTAAATAGAATTATGGAGGTGCCATTGAGACAGTATGCAATGTGTATTGAAATAATTTTTTTCATTTTAGTTTGAGAATTTTAGAGCACAAAATAATGAGCAAAATTACACCATATAATGGAATCCTTAGAAAGTTGTCCTGTTTTTTTCAGCACCTTCCACAAGTCATCCATCCATGTTTTAACTGTTTTTTCCAATTCAATGTCGCAGGGGAGCCAGAACCTATCCCGGCAAGCAACTGGCACAACGCAGAGTGTAACTTGGATGGAATGCCAGTCCTTTGCAGGGCAAACAAACACAAATATAGACATGTAAACACACACTTGCTCCACAGACAATATTCCCAGAAGCCACTTAACCTACCCATATGTTTTTGGACTGTGGGAGGAAACTGGAGCACCCACGCAAACAAAACAAACAGGGAAACATCCAAACTCCACACAGATAGCACCCTAGATCTGAAGTTGAGCCCAGTGCTTCAGTGCTGTGAGGCAACAATGCTAACCGCTGCACCACCAAATTTACATCTATGGACTGCAAGAATCATGCCTGTGTATTTTTTTTTAATGTGAAGAAGTCTCTGTGTTCCCAATGGTGTCTTTCCATATCTGAGGTACACGGCATGGGGCAGGTGAGGAGGTTACCTCTGAAGATAAACTATGATGTAAGTCTGATGAAATTCAGCACAGAAGTAAGATCTGCAACATTACTTGGTACTGTAGCTTAGTTGCTGAGCAGCAGTCAACCTCACTTAATGCTCAGTAGTGCACATAATGGTCAGTCATTAGCCAAAATGTGTACACTGTGTCCACCGTACAGCTGTAAAGCCATTTGGCTCATTCAAGCAAAACACAGGCCTTCTGCTGTTCTGAGTTGGCAAATTGTGCCTGATTGTTAGTCTAGTGACTGCAACATTTTTAAGGCTGAATTTCAATTCGGAGCACATTACTGAGCCCAAAGGTGTTCATTTACTATTGGACTTTTATCTTTGCACAAAACATTGCCATTTAGTGTTGGTATGTAGATTTTAGTATGCTTTGCACTATGGGGTCTGACTTCTGAAAAATGACTCATTTTGGGTCATTGGGCTTTCCTGAAAAATAATGTTTTTCTCAATATTTAAAGTTTTTAAACCCCACTTTATACAGTATGAATTAATTTTTGCGAATAGATTAATTTGTTTTGGGGCCCATATTATACAGTTGAGTGACTGCAATAATAGGTCAAGAAATGATCCAAGGACTCTGTTTGGGAACCTCTTTATAAAGATGTCCAGATAAAAGAGCATGTAGCATGCCTGGAACCTGGAAGATTTGAAACGTCTAGGGTAGGGTCAGCATAACTAAGGCCTTCTAGGTTTGTGTAAAGCAGCAAGACCAGAAGAGCTAGGAAAAGTTGTCAAGTTGGTCCAATTAGCCGATGCAGGTCATTAAAAGCATAGCTGCTCTGTAGTCACATGCCCTTATAGAAGCAGGATTGGAGACCCCTGCCCAAGGGTAACATATAAGAAAAATCTCCAGACTTGCTTCACTATAAAAATGGTGTCACCAATTAGAACTACTGCTAAAAAGGCAGTGTGCAGAGAAGTCTGTGCTCCACCCTTCTGGCTTTCCTTCTCTTGCAACTTGTGACAGCACTTGTCCATGCCTTTCCACTCCCTGCAGCATTACACCAAGAGATTTAAGCCATGCCAGGAGGTTGTGTCCACTGTGTTTACTTCTTTCTTCAGTGATAGAAAACTTTACTGTTTCACATTGTACTAAGGAAAGCAAACATTTTACAATCTTTTGTTAATCTACTTGGTATCACAACTCTTTTTGTCACTTATAAAGCTGAGTGTTTTGCTGGAGCGATCTGAGTAAAGTACCTTAATGGCACAACGGTAGGGCCTCACATGAGATTCAAACTCACAACCTCCCAGTTAAAGGTCTAGAATCCCAACCACAAGTCCACTGCTATCGCCATACTTTGGATTTATTTTCTTTTGTATTTATGTCCAAAGTGGCATCAATGGAGCCAAAAGAGATTCTGGATCCAGAAAAATGGGTAAAGTAGCTATTATACAGTTTAGATGTTGAGACATTAGAATGATCAAATGCAGATCTTTCTTTTATATTCTAGCTTCATAACTCAAGAGCATTCTTAGGCAAAAACAAAAAATTGTAATAGGGTCTTTTAGCTTTACTGTTTTACAAAATCAAGTTTTAAATAATTCTTTGAGGAGTTTACAATATTGTTTCCTTTTTGCTTATGGATCTGTCCCAGGACCAGCTCCCAGCTTAATGGTACGTCAGGAATTTCCTTCTCAGATACAGCAGGCCTTGTGGTAACAGTTGCACAATCTAGCATTGGTTTCAGATTTTTTTCACAGCTAACCTTCCATGTCATATGAATATGGTGTTAAATAGGTCTCATAGGTTCAGTATTATCTCCATGAGAAACTAAAATGAAGCACTACCTTCTACAAACATCATATGAGAGTGAATACGTCTACTCCTGAAAGGAAGGGCTTGACAAAGCCCCAGTCTTCAGTTAGCTGAGGAAATGGACACAGCTCACTTCCCCTAAACAAAAACAAAGGGTTCCTGTTGTTTTTTTCCCTGATTAAAACAAAGTATAATATAAACAAAGATAATATAGCATGGGAAAATAAAAGCCAGGAGAGAAGAGGAGGCGGGAGCAGGGGAGAGGCAGAGTGACCAGTCAAGTGGTGCGAGGTCAAGAGAGGTGAGGAGAGGTGTGAAACGAAACCTACAAATGAAAAGAGAGAATTAGAAGAAGACAAGTTTTTCATTGAGAGAAGGGGGAAGGTGTAAACCACGTTTCAGGATAATTTTAGTTTCTGATGAGTCGTTGTAGCCAAAGGAACTGTGAAAAAGGGAGAGAGTTTTTAGTGTGTTTGGGGTGAGATCAGCTGTACAGAAGATAGCTGTGTGAATCTGTGGGTTTATAATAGACCGAAATAGAGACTTGGGGATGGTTAATGGATAGGTTTATGTCTAGAAATGGAAGAGTATCAGAGGATATGTTGACTGTATATTTGAGGGACAGGTGGAAGTTGGTGAAGTGATGCTCTAGCTGGTCATTAGAGCACGTGGAGGCATCTACACAGTTATCAATGTATCGCTTTTAGAGGTCCAAGACAACGCCAGTTTAGAAAACGAAGAAGCATTCTTCTACCCAACCAACAAAAATATTGGCATAGCTGGGTCCCATTCTGGTGCCCATGGAGACTCCACTAACTTGCTGGTAATAAAAGGTTATTGACAGAGAATGCATTGAGTGTGAGTACCAATTCTGCAAGGTGTACAAGGGTGTGGGTGATAGATCAAGCACTATGCGTTTGTCCAGCGTGTGCTTGAGGGCTGCAAGACTGCATTGTGCAGAATGATGGTGTAGAGAGATGTGATGTCTGTGGTGAAAATGTAGCATCCTGGGCCCTGAAAATGGAAATCATTAAAACATTGGAGGGCAAGGTTGGTGTCCTTGATATATGAAGGAAGACCAGCAACCAGGGGTCTCATAAGGCTGTTGAGAAAGGCCGAGATGTGAGTATTTGGAAAGTTACATGCTGAGACAATCGGGCTTCCAGGGGTGTCAGGTTTGTGGATTTTGGGGAGGTAAAATTGGGATACCCGCAGATGTTCAACAATGAGCGTTTATTCCTACTAATGTACACGTAGAGTACAAACAGTTTAAACAATCCCTTTATTCAATTAATTTTGTATCCTTTTATTTGAGCATGCTCTTTCAAACACTGATATAGAGGCATCTTTTTCTGTTTGACCTTTAAACAACTCTTAGAAAACATTTTCTGCTCTTTTCTCAATCCAGTCTGCACATAAGTAATATTTCCTTTGTAATTCCTCGCACAGGAGGTTGGCATACATTTTTTATAGTTTGGACTCATTTTCCAATGTAGTTCAGTGTTTTCACACATCGAAATGCTACAAGCAAACAATGGCTTGTGCAGCTGCTCTCTGTATTGCCAAGCATCCGCCAGGCACTCCAAAAATGCATGCAAGTGATTTTGCTGTTACAAAGCTAGTCAAGCTGTTTGCTTTCTGTGCAAACAAAGAACAGCTTAGTTTTCGGACTAAAGCATCTGACACACTGATATGTTTAACAAAACTTGTATTTGTCAGTGCTGTTGTAGAATGAAATTTGGCTAACAGAACTGAACAGAGCATTCTGTGTAGTTTTTAAAACGTGATATGTTTTTATGTATGCCATGGAAGAGATTTAGTAAACTTGCTGGAGGCTTTCTGAGGCATGATACATTTTTAAAGGCTCTTGACAGTTCCCCAGTGGTAGGTATAGGGTTTTTATTTTGCAAAGTGGAAGTTTAACTTTATTCATTTACTCATTTTATAACTGCTTCTTCCCCTGAGGAACTGAAGCCTATTCAAGTAAGCAACAGGCGCAGGGCTGGATACAACCTGGACTGGATGCCAGTCCATCAGAGGCCCGACAGGACACAAATACACACTCACACCAGGGCTACTTATCCCCATTATTTAAACTGTGGGAGGAGACTGGAGTCCCATAGGAGGCCCAGTTTAGCTTTATTGTTTTACAAAATAAAAAACAAGCCTTCAATTTGATCAATTGCAGTCTTACCTCAAAAACAATAGTACTCATTGTTCACGTGGACTGTAGTGCTTTAGAAATGTTGTTGCACAGACAGTTT